TTCAGTTACCATGATGGGGGAAGGTCAAACAGTGTTTGATCACATTGAAAGATAATGAAAGGCTAAGTTTACATATCCAGCCGCTGTTATGGGCCACACTAAGCCACTTTGAAGGTTTAAAAAAACTATTACAAGAAGAAAAACAAAAAAACAACCTCTCTAGCTTGGCTTATAATAGATGCAGCAGGATTTATGCACATTCTGCAACCAACCATTAGAGGAGAAAAAAAAATGTCAAAAGGCAGGGATAACAGGAAAGTTACCAAATTTTTTTAATTTCCGAATGTAATTTGAATGATGATTGTGGTAATAGTGACACATTCAAGTTTCTACAATAAACTTCAGTCTACCTCAGTTTAAGAAAAAAAAATGTGGCAACACATGGTGCATAAAGACTGCTGTGTGTGTGTGCGCGCGCGCGCCTGTATGTGTGTGGTCGACAGAGCCATGCTATTACCTCTGAACCTTTTTTTGTGATGTTTTTTGTGCATGAGATGATCAGAATCACCATGCTGCACTGATTTGAGGGGCACAACGAGCAAAAACATTTGTTTCATCATTTTGTTATCTACCTCTTAGGTTCATGTTGAAATAGAGGCATTACTACATAGACTAGATAATTTTCCCAAAGATCATTGTTGTACAGATTAGATGATTTTGAAAATGGTCTGAAGTGTTTTTCCTGCATCTCTTCTTTACTAATTAATTGGTTTAAAAACCACAAACTTATGTTGTAGTTTTAGCAAAGAAAAATGAGTTTCTTTTCCTTTTTTGACAGTGACCTTCATCTAGCCTTTAGGATAACTTTTTTTCTTACAATGAGTTTAAAATTACTGAAGTATGAGAAGTCATAGCATTTTAATTTTTGTTGAGGCTTAAGTCAGTCTGATGTTCCTTTCTTAACATTTGAGAAGGATTTGACTTCGTTATTTTCCATAAAAATTACTTTACAAATAGGCACTGCATTTACATCTGCTGATTTAAATACTGCCATCTCTCTTAAATTTCTAGACTTAGTATGGTAAATCATGTTTTTCTTTTCAATTGAGACTTGGTAATTTGGAGTATTTGGGAATAGCTAGAAAGTAAATACTGTAAATGATTTCAATTTCCACAAAGTATGGATCATTTTTTCATCTGTAATGTGCCCCCCAATGCAGCTCCACTTGCCAGATGCCTCTGAATGGAATAAAGAGTTTAACTCCTATCATCAGAGAAAGTCGTGTGGTGTTTTTTTCAGCTAATGAGGCACAGGGACAGACTATTCTGAGTATTTACGGTGCTTTGGACAAATTGATTTTCTGTCAGTAGTAATAACTGGATAAGGATGAACAGTCACCTACAGGTATTCAGGGAATCACAGAATGGTTTGGGTTGGAAGGGACCTTAAAGATCATCCAGACCAACCCCCTGCCATGGGCAGGGACACCTCCCACTGGACCAGGTTGCTCAAAGACTGGTCCTTATAGCTACTGGGGCATCCAGCAACCAGGTTACAACTTTTGCAGTTCCCAATACAAGCAATTACTTCTGTGGCTTATACTTCATCTCCTTCTCCCTCTCATATAGCACTAGTTGTCTGTAGTACAACCTATAGTTCATAGTTTCAGTCTTATGCAGATCACTGTGGCTTATTTGCTGTGGAAGGGATGTGTATTCAACAGCTCTGACTGAGAGCAAACACGAAGGAATCTTTAGCAGGTTTGAAGTGAGATCTGAATTGCAGTTAAACACTTTTCTGGGGCTGCTTTTTACTCACTCTGGTGCTCTCAGTGTGCTGAAGCTGTTTAATGAACGTGCATTCTAGGTGCATTCCCTAGAAGCCTGGATAGGCAGAACCAGTCACACCAGCAAGCAAATGTGATGGCAACCTGTATCTCATTCTTGCCACCACCAAGCACATGCTGCTTGCCAATGAAGTGGTGTCACCTCTCCATTTAGCTCCTTGTTAACAATATTTGGAATAGAAATGAGAGTAGATGTTTAACTGTGAACGCCTTAGGGCAAGAGGGAGGGGTTGGGGAATGAAAGTGTCATGAATAATGTAATTCTGTATCTTTTAAAGAGGAGTGGAAAACCAAACTTGTTTTCCAAACTCTTGCACCCTCCTACTTGTCTTCACAGCTCGTTTACTGGGACCAACCAGCAGACAGAGGGAACTGAAGAAATGATGGCTGTAGAAGGCACTGCATAGGGTACTGCATTTCACAGGGACTTCTAAGCTCACTTTTCCATGCCAATATCAAGCTATCTTCTCTGAACAGGCAACCCTGCCACTCAAAATCACAAAAGTTAAGCCTTCCTCTGTATCGCTGGTGCATTTGTGACAGCTGAACTCCTGATTGTTTTAAGCATTTGCTTAATCATGATGCTTTTATTTGCTTCTAACCTTTCAAAGCTTTTATTCCCAAACTGCAATTTCAAAGGCATGCGCTTTGTTAGTTTCTGTTAAACGAAGCATGTATGCTGTGCAGGAGAGCATGGGCTCGCCATAGTACTGGGGCATAGGAGTTTTAAATGATTGTGAAAAATTGTGAAGGACTCAAACTGGACTGTAGCACAGATGTAGCTCAGCTGATGAACACAAACGCTGCTTGATAAAAGTTACTCAGATGCAGTGCAGAAAACTGGTGCAATGATGACAAAAGTTTCACTTTGTTTCTCCTGTTCACCTCACCATGAAGGGACCCTGTACAGAGCCAAACACTCACATACCTATGTAGAAGATGAATCCATAGACTCATTGGACGAGCTGCTCAGTATTTTTTATTTTACACAGAAATCACCTGATTGGTAGAGCTGAAAGCATTTCCAAACATTCCTTCTAAAAGGGGTTTAACACTGCCCGGTACTGACCATCCAGATGGTCTTGGTTAAATCCTAGGTCCCAGCTTTTACAAGGGTCAGGCCAAAGGCTCACCAAGCCAGGCTGGTAACTTGGCTGGGGCATGGTGGTAGCTCAGCACAGATCATCCCTGCTTCTGTCCCGTGGGGCTGAGGAAGCTCTTTTCCTGTGCTAGTACTACTGATTACTTAATAGCAACCCATGGATGCTGCATAGAACTCCTTTTCACATTGTGCTTTGGCAGTAAATTCAGTTACACCTTTTTCATTTATTTTACTTAGTTTTGTCTCCTCAGTTGAATTTTTTTCTTGTTTTACAGACTATTGCCTCTTCTCAGCTGTAAGACTCCTAGTCTGTTCACACAGAAGCTGTTCCCTACCTCTTACTGTTCTTTTCTGGGTGTTCCTTTTGTTACTGTGCTCTTTGAGACAGGATCCTGTTTGTGGTTCTGGTTACTAAATGTAGGTTCCTATAATGGTATAATGCTTGCCGAACCAGCCGCTATTCATCTAGTATTGCTTATCTTCAGCAGCAGCAGTAAAAGGCAAATAGTTTCAGAGAATGATCCAGTTACTCCTACGTATCTCTCCTAGGAGGAAATGCCTGATTTAGAACCCATCATTCTGTAAGACAGCCAAGGTTGTCTTTCCCCTGTGTGGATTACCTATGGCCAAGTATCTCATGGAGCATTCTTAAAATCTTTCTTTGCAGTCCTATCACCACTACCTTTATTTTATGGGTAAAGATGTTTTTATCTGTATAGTTTAACTACATTTAATAAATGTTCCTTGCTTAATTTGCAGAACTACCTGCTGCCTTGTATCAAAGAGCAGGTGAACTTGGGAGCAGCTATTCCTGAAAGAAGAGAGGGTAGACACAGCAAGAAAACATGGCCAGTCTGAAATGAGGGAGGTTTGGTTTCTTTTTTTTTT